CTGGAAATGTAAAGAGCAGAGAGCACTTCCCTTCCCCATCTAAAACTCTGGCATAGGAGCTATTGGGTGCCTCAGGATGTTGCAGGGAGTAATTAATATTTGTAATGGCCTTTGAAGACAAAGGGTGCTATGTATTATTACTTTCACACCCCCTCTGAGCTTTCCTGCAGACAGGAGCCTAAGCACTGTTGTGACCAAATGTACATGGATCTTTTCTCATCCACATCTTTGTGCCATCTTCATGTCTCCATCTTCATGGGACAAGGAATCTTCCGTCAAATCCTCCTTCAAACGACGGTTCTTCCAAGAAGTCTATACAAAATGGCCATTGCTAGATTTCTACCATCACCTCCAGCTCATATTGATGTCCCACGTGCTGTCTCCTCTGCTTAGTCTGTATCTGTCTGCAAACGCCTTGGGGCTGTGGCTTCGGATGTCTGCAGCACTGGAGGTGCTCCATAAATAATAATATAGCGTTTGCAGCATGCAGTACCACACACAAACAGGAATATATGCAGTGGGGTAAGCCACGCACTGAAATAGCCCATGCACAAGCGCCAGCAGTGACAGCACGCTTAAAGTATTCTGAACTTTTTTACTAATTACAATTTTCCAGAAAAGTCATTGTTATGGCCAACACCTTGTCTTTGAGGTCACTGAGCCTTTTCCCCGGTAGAGCTGTCAGTTAAGCAGAGAGTGAGTTAAGCAGAGAGTGTTAAACTCCACTTTTCATGTAAGGCATTTGGTGGATTTATGTATTTATTTATCGGCACAATAGCAGCGTGGGTGAAACTGGCTGCTTGGCATTTCGTGCATGCAGTTTATTGGCTTTTTATCCTCCTCCAAATAGAGAAAATTGTAGGTGAGTTGGGAGTGTTCTCACTTTCCAACTGAATCACCGCTGTCATGGTTAGGAAGATTCAAGCAAGAGAACAATTCCACGGACCTGAGCCAGCTCCAATCTGAGATTATACAATACTGAGTTAACCCACAACTATGAATTACAATGGTGGTCCATAGTTTTCTGCTCAGATCTTTGAATAGGGCACGTTGTGAAGGATGTATGAAAACTTTTAAGCCCTGGAATGGACACCCCAAGTGCATATTCATAAGATTTCACGGTAGCAATGTCTGCAGTGGTATCACGTTTTCTTTGCATGGTTTCCCTGTCAGCACTGAAAGGAAAGCATTTGAAATAAACCATAAAAATAGTTTGTATAACAAAGCTATTACATCAGAGATGTCAGAACCTTGCCCAACTGCAAGCTAAGGTTATAATAATTGGAAGCCACCTTCCACTACATTATTGCTTAATTATTATTTGTATTGCTGCACTGCTCAGGACCCCCAATCATGGACCAGAACCCCATTGTGTTAGGCACTGTACATACGTAACAAAAAGGTAGTCCCTACCCAAAGAGCTTCCAATCTAAGACCATGTCTACATTACCCTCCAGATCTGCTGGCAGCGATCGATCCAGTAGGGATCGATTTATCGCGTCTAGTCTAGACGTGATAAATCGACCCCTGAGCGCTCTCCCATCGACTCCTGTACTCCAGCACCGCGAGAGGCACAGGCAGAGTCGATGGGGGAGTGGCAGCAGTCGACTCACCGCGGTGAAGACACCACGGTAAGACAATCAAGTACGTCGACTTCAGCTATGTTATTCACGTAGCTGAAGTTGCATAACTTAGATCAATTCCCTCCCCGCCCCCCAGTGTAGACCAGGGCTAAGGCCATGTCTACACTGAAAACCTTCCAGCGGCAGGAGAGAGCTTTCCTACCAGCAAAATAAAACCACTCCCGAGTGTTTTTTTCACACCCCGACCGACAAAAGTGCAGTGTAGATATAGCCTACGTGTAAGCCGAGACAACAGGTGGAGACAGACAGACAGACTGGGGAGTACAAGGAAACAAGAGGCAATCTTGGTTAGCAGGATAGGCAGAGGTCTTAGCACACCAGCTGCCTAACCATTGTCAAGTGTTATGTAGGCATCATGGAAAAGGAGGGTTTTAAGAAGGGATTTGAAGGAAGACAATGAAGTAGCTCTGTGGGTGTTTACGGGGAGCTCCTCCCAAGCATGAGGGGCAGCCTGGGAGAAAGCATGAAGGTGCTTGTTTGAAGATGTAACAAGTGGGCGATGAAGGCTGGCATTGTGTCTGGCTTACCGAAGTGGCTCATTTCATGACTATACCTGGTACACCATTCAGCACTGAATCAGCTACGCTGACTCTTACAGCAGCAGTTGGTTGGCTGCATACCCGAGGAGCCAGCATTACAACTTTCCCAAGGATAGGGAAGCATGGCCTGCGGAACACCAGTGGGGTCAGTGACGCGGCCAGTAAGCAGTTTCTTGTTACATAAATAAGGGACCGAACTGATGAAAGGTGACAAATCACGTGTGAATATTTTTATTTGAAATATTTCAAGAAACTAAAAATTCAGGAGCTTATATTAAAATCAGCTCTCATGTCAGATGGAAGTATGGCTGATCTCCAGAAAGCAAAAGGTCTGTCCAATTTCAATCTCTTTGTCATTTTTCTGAATATTTTTCTTTTATTCCACAGATTTGAAATCCACAGAGTAAACTTTCTTCCTGCACCTTCTGCAGCCACTCGTTGGGGAAAGCATACACAGGACTGAAATGAACTGAATTCTCCTGAATTAAAAATAGGATTTTTTGACCCAGTGTCATTTGACCATGAAAAAATTACTATAAAAATAGGAAAGGAAAAGAGACCAGCTGTTTAAAGGGTCTATATGGGCCTGTTTTGAAATGCTCAGTCCCTATTTTCATATACCAGTACCCCCGGGCTTTGCACTCAAGCTAAGGAGTATTAAAAGGGTATTAATAGGGGTTTCCCTACTACAGGGAGAGAAATGTGGCTTAGAGGTCTGAGTATAGATGGAATTCAGGATCTCCTCATCTCTGACCTGGCTCTGACAGTAACCCCCTCTGTAACCCTGCACACCATGCCTCCATTAGTCCATCTGTTTTTGTCTTTGCAGCTATCTTCTCAAGGTGATCATGGAAGGTGAGGGTGCAGTCAAGTTTCACTTTGGGGCATCATCACGTTGGCACATTTTTACCACAGAAAGCTATGTTCAGTGTGTTTTTGGCGGTCCTATTATCAAGAAGAAATGCATTTACTATTGTTTTTCCAGGGTTTGGTTTGAGCCTACATTTCTGGAAGCATTGTTCCATAATTCGGAGGTCCTCCGTTAATGCTTCCTCAATGTCATGGAAGTTTGGCGCTTGGATTGTCCTGGCAAGACCATCTGCACATCCAAATTTAAGTGATTTAGTTGGAGGCATGTCACTTATGTAAATATTAAAAAGGGTTGGTGGGAGTACAGAACCTGTGGTAGCCTGTTGTTTATGGTACGGGGTGAGCTGTCTGTCATTAAGCATGGTCCAAAGCAGGCAAAGTGTTTGGTAGCAAGATATAATTCTTGCAAGTTTCAGCATCAGGCTCTTAATCCATACAGTGTCATACGCAGATGACAGGTTGACAAATACTGTGCCAGAGTTTAGTTTTTTCTGATAGCCAGCCTCAGTGTGAGTTGTGAGTGCCAGAACATGGTCGCGACAACTACGTTTTGGCCTGAAGCCTGCCTGTTTCACAGGGATAACTGGCTCAGTTAAAGGGCGTATTCTTTTAAGGATGATATGCTCAAGAAGTTTATAGGTCATGCACAGTGGAGAAATCAGCTGCTTCATCAGTGGGCTTCCCAGGCTTTGGAATGGCAATTATCATTGCTGAAAAGACAAAAATGAGAGCCCACGTCATTCAGAAACTTGCAGGCACCACCTGGGGTGCATCGGCATCAGTGTTGTGAACATCTGCACTGGCACTTGGATAGTCGGCAGATGAATATTGCGCACCGGTATGGAGCAGATGCAGCCAGACGCGACTTTTGACACCCAGCGTCTCCTAGCAGCACCCACCAGGATTGGGGCCCCACTGGGCTACACTTTGGTACAAAACATTTTGCAAGCCAATTCTTTGGGGGCGGGGGAGGAGTTGTCTCCTACTCAAGCCGTTTCCCCCGGGGTCAGGAACGGCCACGCCCGGTTACACCTCATTTCGCAAAGATGGTGCGGATCCTTTTCCCAGGCCCTCTCCTACTGGGCACAGTGAGGCCAATCGGGATGGGGCTGGAGAAGAGACAGTGAAGGTTTCCTATTTCCTATTTCACTCTGCGTTACTTAGGGAGGTGGTGGAGTCTCCTTCCTTGGAGGTTTTTAAGGCCCGGCTTGACAAAGCCCTGGCTGGGATGATTTAGTTGGGAATTGGTCCTGCTTTGAGCAGGGGGTTGGACTAGATGACCTCTTGAGGTCCCTTCCAACCCTGATATTCTATGATTCTATGACTAGGAAGGTGGTGAAGCACTGGAATGGGTTACCTAGGGAGGTGGTGAACTCTCCATCCTTAGAGGTTTTTAAGGCCCGGCTTGACAAAGCCCTGGCTGGGATGATTTAGTTGGGGATTGGGCCTGCTTTGAGCAGGGGGTTGGACTAGATGACCTCCTGAGGTCTAGCGTGACCAGACAGCAAGTGCAAAAAATCGAGACGGGGGTTGGGGGTAATAGGCACCTATATAAGACACAGCCCCAAATATCGGGACTGTCCCTATAAAATTGGGACATCTGGTCACCCTACTGAGGTCCCTTCCAACCCTGATAGCCTATATTCTCTGACAATTATTGTGGTAGCTCCTAGGAGAGGCCGTCAGGGACCCGGACCCCGTTGGGCTAGGCGTAGTCCGCCCGCACACGCGGCTAGCCGGGTCTCTGCCCCAAAGAGCTTCCAAGCAGAGCGAGCTGGGGCTTGGGGCGCTCAGGGCCAGAGGGGACGGCCAGGGGCCGCTGGGCTTGCCCCTTTGGAGGAGAGGAGCAAAGGGGCCAAGCCCTGGCATCGCCCCCCCTGGTCCGCCCCGGGCTCGGCCCTAGCACAGCGGGTCCCGCCCCTGCAGGCAGGGGAAGGAGCCGGGTGGGGCGCAGCAGGCTGGGTCTGCAGGCGGCGGTGGCTGGGTGCACAGAGGGGGGGTTCCCGGTTCCCAGCACCCCGCCTCCTCCTGGGCTCCCGCTGCCGGAGCGAGCGGCTCCAGCCCCCGGAAACCCGACCGGCTGCAGCGGAGTTGTTGCGAAGCGGCGCGAAGAGGAGGAGGAGGGAGCCGGGGCGGGGGGAAGGCGCCGGGGCCAGGCTGGCTGCACGTCCCGCTCCCCGGGCAGGCGGATCCGGACCCCCGCCGCCCCCGCAGCCGGGAGTGACCCCCCCGGCCCGGCATGGTTGAGCGCCCGGAGCCGGTGTCTGCACCAGCCGCGGGGCTCCGGCCGGGGACGAGCCCGTGACTGGCGGCGAGGAGGGGACGCTAGCGGGCTCCGGCCATGGAAGAGGAGGTGAGTCACTTGGGGGGGCCGCGGGAGCCGCCTCGACACCCCCCCCACACACTTTCCGGAGCTAGGAAGGAGCCCTGGAAAGTAGCAGCCCGGGGGGAGGAGAGGGCAGGACTGGGGGGGGGGGGGCAAGGCGGAGAATCTCCCTCCCCCGGGGTAGAAGGGAAGAAGCTCCCCAGGACCCTGAGTTTTCAGCCTCCATCCACCCCTAGTTGCATGTTCTTGCAATCTGCAGAGTTACTTGGGCTGGACAAACTGTTGAGCCTTTTTCTTTTTGCAGCTCTGCCCCCAGCCCCTGGGAGTTTCCCAGGGGAAAGTGCAGCCCAGAGCTTTGCAGTGCTTAAAAAACAAAATCCGGAAAACAGGATGGAGAGGGGGAAAGAAAGTCTGCTCCTTGTCCTCCCCCCCGGGCTGGCGGGTGAAAGGGAACAGGGGAGAACAGAGGCAGCTCCGACTAGGGCCTGGCTTGGCCTGGAGTACTTTTTTTTTCTTCTTCGTTTTTGGTATGCGATGGCATTTGGCCCGGAAAGTGGAGGGTGAGAAGATTGTTGTTGATGGATGATGGGCTGGTAATAAGGGGGAAAGGAGAACTCCCATCAGCTTCAGTGAGAGCGGCTCACTCTGCTTCCACTCCCACTGAGGTTAGATGCTGGCCCAAACATGCGCCTTTTAGGGCACTTGGTCTCCTGGGTGGCACTGGAAGATGCTGTCACCTCCTGCCAGCTGGGGTTATCTAAAGTACCCCCAAAGCTCCCCGCCGAATGCAAACGTGGACGGGTTAGTTTGAAACCTAAACAGGAAAACATATGGGGCACCAGGCATTGCAATCGCCCAGCAGCTGGGTGCCAGTCATCACATGTAACAGACGCTGAGAATGGACACCCAACAGGAACAAGCAGAACACCTAATGTCGGTTGCAGTTTCTGCTGTATCCATAGTGTAGCAGGTGCAAGGCGCTCACACTGCTATGGTGAGGGTGGCGTAAATGGCTGCATGGATAAATAGTATAAAGGTCTCCGGGTTTTAAATGACAGTCTTGCTGCTTTTTGGCTTCCCAGTGAACAAGTTACAGAATACAGTAATTCCTTGGATACACTTTTCCCTTTAGCTTTTAAATAAGAACGGCCATACTGGGTCAAACCAGTGGTCCATCTAGCCCAGTATCCTGTCAGAGGCCAATGCCCGATGCATCAGAGGGAATGAACAGAACAAGGCAATTTATCGTGTGATCCATCCTGGGTTGACCTGTCCCCGCTTCTGGCAGTCAGAGGCTTAGGGGCACGCAGAACATGGGGTTGTATCCTTGACCATCTTGGCCATTGATGTACCTACCCTCCAGGAACTTCTCATTTTTTTCTGAACCCAGTTATACTTTTGGCCTTCACAACACACCCTGGCAACAAGTTCCATGGGTTGACTGTGTGTTGTGTGAAGCAGTACTTCCTTATGTTTGTTTTAAACCTGCTGCCTATTAATTTCATTGGGTGCTCCCTGGTTCTTGTGTTATGTAAAGGTGTTAATAACACTTCCTTATTCACTTCCTTCACACCAGTCATGATTTTATAGACCTCTGTTCGATCCCTTCTTAATTGTCTCTTTTCTAAGCTGCACCGTTCCAGTCTTTTTAATCTGTCCTCACATGAAACCTGTTCCGTACACCTAATCATTTTTGTTGTCCTTCTCTGTACTTTTTCTGATTCTTATCTATCTTTTTTGAGATGGGATGATCAGAATTGCATGCAGTATTCAAAGGGTGGGCATACCATGGATTTATTAAGCAGAATTGGTATTTTCTATCTTATGTGTCCCTTTACTTATGGTTCCTAACATTTGGTTAGGTTTTTTGACTGATGGTGCACACTGTACAGATGTTTTCAGAGAACTTTCCATGATGACTCCAAGATCTTTTCCTTGAGTGGTAACAGCTAAGTTAGACCCATCATTTTGTTTGTAGAGTTGGGATTATATTTTCCAACGTGTGTTACTTTGCACTTAATTTCATCTTCCATTTTCTTGCCAGTCATCCAGTTTAATGAGATCCCTTTGTAAGTCTTTGCAATCAGCTGTGGACTTAACTATCCTGAGTTGTTTAAATTGGTTGGGTGAAACTGATCTATTTTTGTACTTTCTAAGTATGGGTATGATGAAACCCAGCCATTGAAAATGAAACCCTTATTTATGCCATCATACTTCCCTATTCTCTCTGTTTAAGGGTTTTGTACTGGTACCCATCACCATCATGTCTGAGCATCTGCCAGGCTAATAGATTGACAAAGTGCCTTGTGGGCTTCAGGAGGGTGTCAGCTCTTCTCCCATATCAGGTTATGGGAGGTTCTGCTTAGGAAGGGATTGAATTTGGAGAAATGGGTGTGGCAGTTGTTTCTCTTTCCATGCACTGTCGGTGTTTGTGCACCTTCGGCCCATTGTGCAGTACTCCGTCTCTACCAGGATTTATTCTAACACTACGAGCTTGCAAGCAACTTAAACAAATGTCATTCTTTTTCTCACATCAGCTGGCCACAGCATTATTTCCTCCTCCTTTCCCCAAATGAGAGTCTGCTGCCCTTATATGGGCAAAGCTCCTATTGCTAACTGGAATGGGAGTTCATCCTGCTTGAGGACTTCAGAATTGGGCCACAGCACATTTGATGTTAAGCCTTCAGGTTATGCCTTTCGCCCTCCCCGCCCCCACCGTCCCTCCCCCACTTCCTTTCAGTCTCCAAAACTGTGTGGCAAGGCCCAGGGTTTCTGAAAACTGGCAATAAGACAGTTGGGAGACTGCAATGCAGCCCAAGTTGGTAGCGACTGAAAGTTGTTATTATCTACTGGCGTACATGAAATTAATCCACATCACAAAAGCCACCTTCCAGCTGGCAACCTTCTTAGCTGTTTTGGTAAGCAGGCCGAAGCCTGAATGAGCTTGGATACTGAACCAGACCGAGAGGTGGTCACCCCCGTTCAGGAGTGAGACGCCTTGGCAGGGTGCTGAGAGGACGCTTTCACTCCTGCTGCCAAGGCTGCCCCTTCTGTGTACTGATGACTTAAGTTTGCAGTTCCACTCGCGCTGCACTTTTTTTCTAATGCTAAATTAACACTTTGCAGGCAACTTTTTCAAAGACAGCCTCGAATCCTGCACCCACCGGTAATTGCAAATGCAGTTTCATGAGCACGATCAGCCATAGGTGGCAATGGTTAGCGTTCATTGTCTAGTTATCTGATTTGCCACTACAGTTTTGACAGAAAGCTAAATGAGAACACTTTGGCCTGCAATATTGCATGTGCAAGATCAGAGGCCAAGTTGAAGTCCCCTGGGGGAAAAAAAAAGTTTTACCAGATGGCACTAGGGCAGTGGTTCTCAACCAGGGGTACGCAGAGGTCTTACATCAACTCATCTAGATACTTGCCTAGTTTTACAAGAGGCTACATAAAAAGCACTAGCCAAGTCAGTACAACACTAAAATTTTATACTGTTCTATCTACTATACACTGAAATGTACGTACACTATTTGTATTCCAATTGATTTATAATTATATCATAAAAATGAGAACATCAGCAATGTTTCAGTAACAGTGTGCTGTGACATTTTTGTATTTTTATGTCTGATTTTGTAAGCCAGTAGTTTTTAAGTGAGGTGAAACTCGTGGGTACACAAGACAAATCAGACTCCTGGAAGGGGGACAGTTGTCTGGAAAGATTGAGCGCCTCTGCACTAGGGTATTCATCAAAAGTAGAGGGAGGTAGTTCTTGTTACAGGTGTACAGTACTTTTGATTAGTTATAGTTAGTTATAGTTGCTATATATCTGCTTTAAATGAGGTTAGTGAAACTGAGCAAGGAACTTGAATACCTTATGTATAGTTAGTTCAGAAACCACCATAGTGATTAAACTTTTTTTTTTGCTCAGGAGAAATCATAGAATAGCAGGGTTGGAAGGGACCTCAGGAGGTCATCTAGTCCAACTCCCTGCTCAAAGCCAGACCAATCCCCACCTGATGTCCACTGGGGTGGGATTGTTTTATGACTTTTTTTATTCCAGCAAAAGCCCTAGTGCAGACGCAGTTATACCAGAAAAGAAATGAAACTTGTGGTTTTGTGAGCCTGAAAATACTGGGAGAGGAGGCTGGAGGGAGGTTAGAGCTGGTTGTTTAAGTGTTTAAAAAATAAAAAGCCTCTGAAGTCTTCCTTGCTAAGATTTGTAATCATAAGTGTGTCCAAGTTGGACACATGAAACTCATGTTTCACTGGTAAAGTGGCCATAATGTAAATTGCAGTAGTGAAATCCTGAGCATATATGTCCAGTTCTTGGTGTTGATTCTCTTGACTCAAATTAGTGACAGAACAGCCAGATTTTTCTCTTACACCATCAAATCTTGACAGATGTCAAAGGAGTTTCTTCTGATTTACACCAGTGTCAGAGGAGTACCTAGCATAGAAATCTCTTGGAAAGGACACAAAGTATTTAGTGCCTTCAACAGAAAAATACCAACATAATCCTGAAGTGACACAGTCGTTAGTCATGCCCAGCGATAGCAAGATTCCTTTGCTCTGGAATTTTTGGTGCAATTAGTCTTTTCGCCTTATGCTCCTATGTGAACCACATACCAGGTGCGAGAGCACAGAGTGGAACTGAGGGTCCGGTCCTGCATTCCTTGCTCTGGCAAAGCTCCCATTAACATTATATGCTAATGTCTCTTCTGGCATGAACCTACTTCATTGCCCCAAAAATAGTCCACAAAAATATCAGATGCTGTTTCTGATCAGACCCTCCCCTGTTTCACTGTACAAACATGAATGTTTAGTTATGTTGACTTTTACACCTGTAACACATGTTGCCTTTGCTCATTTTCACCTCTCTCTTGAGAAAGGATAAGACTAGAAGCCAGATCCTGGCCTTGTATAAACTGGTTCACACTAGCTAAGGATCACGCCCAGTGGGTTTGATTTTACATTCCTGGTACAGTCCAAACTCTTTAGGATCTGATCCTTGAGTCTGGTCAAGTTTC